CAGGTGTGAGAGGATCTTGCTCCACATATAATACAAGGAAAGATATCAAAGACGAGGTGAAGAATGCAAGTTTGGATGAGGTGACAGAAAAGTATGGACTAAGTTTGGTGATTGTGGCATCTCAGGAAGTTAGGACACGAGCTTTGGTGGGTCACTACATAAGCCCAACACTGGAACTGGCACTCATGCGCTATTGCTTCTTGGAGCGAGTGGGTCGAGCTCGTTACCACGGCGAAGTCACTCAAGGTAAGCCTGGCTTGTCCGCGCTCAAAGAGGATCCGAAGTCTTTGTTCTATCACCGAAAGTTTCTGCTGCACCACAAGTTGATTACGAAGCAAGTCCACCATCAGAGAAGCGGACGCCATTGCGGCAGTGGTAGTCTGTTGCATTTGCCACGCTTCTATGTTGAACGAAAGCCGAAGATGATCTACCTGGCGGAACAGGTGCTCGATATTTTACGATCCAAAGAAAACGGCGTGGCTGAGTACGATGAGATTAAGAAGAAGCTCGGAATCGAAAATTCTATCAAAAAACTGTTTAAAACTGCCTTCTTTCAAAAAATCGTGAAGACAGACATCAGCGTGCCATATAGAACTTTATATCCTAACGCAGAACCCAATGAGTGGCGACAAAAGCAAGATCCTTCGAAGGAGAAAACAATTAGAGTCGTGCAGGTGCTGTATCCGGATGTCGATGTTGCTGATCTGTGGTACAAAGATGAGAAGGATGACGATGAAGACATCCTTGAATTGGATGTGTCTAATCACAAGTTTAATGTTCCTTATCTGAAGCAAGCAAACGTTATTATTGAAGCTAATAAATCGCAAGGTATATCTCAAGGTCAGTAGTAAATCCTAGATTTTTGTAATTACTTTAGAATTTTGTTATTCGAGATATGAAGTTTATTCAAATTAATGTAATATTACAAAATTAATATACACTATGTTTTCGTTATTCAATTTTTAAATTATAGGCGAAGTTAGGAATAGAAGTTAGGAAATTTTGAATTATTATTAATTTAAATTTTTAGCTTATTTGGGAAAGGAGATGGGTCTCACCAGATTACAGTCTAGATCATTTCTGAGGAATATGGTAAAGTCAGGTATCGTTGCAACGTACTTGCACGATATGGGCCGGCAAAGGATTACAAAATACGTCTCGAAGAAATTCGAAAAAAGTAGCAAAATGAGTAAGCAATTTAACAAAGAGATACACAGGATTAAGGAACTCACGAAGAATAGTCATCACGTTGATAAGATGGATGTTGATAAAGATAAAAATAAAGAAGAAGATGCTGATGCAAATTATGCTAGGAAGGAAACGGAATTAAAGAATTTGTTCTACGTCGTCAATAGAATTTTGCGCAATTACCGATTGTCAAAATTCCTACCTAAATACAAGTGCACAACGTCAAAATCTTTATTAATGAAGACAAGGAGTTCCGATATCAACGCGAAGGAACAGAAAGCGAAGCTTGATATTTCCACGTCTATACAGCAAATCGTGAATGATGCCAAAGCCACGTCGTTTTATAATAGCATAAAGACGAATTTGATAGCGCAAAAGCCTATTCGCACTGAAGGAAGCGAAGTTTTCGGTTTTATGGAAATCGTACAAAGCGAGACAAAAAATGCTAATATTACATACAGGTTTGTACAAATATGCTATATACAATAAGCAAATATACTTATGCTGTATAAGTTTAAAATAATAAATAGATTAAATCATTATTGCTAGAAAGAGAAATACATATCAATTAAAAAAGAATATAAATGCTATCTAACTTTTATTGCATATAATTATATTTTCCTGTGATATATGTAAAATTGATCTTATTTATCTTCGCGTAACTCTTTCGGATATATTTTCTTTTATAATTTAGAAATACGAGCGCTTAGAGATTTTTTCATTGTAAATATCAATATCATTAAATATTTTCTATTATGTTTAGATTGTTAAGGCGTGCCAATATGATAATCGAAGCAGTGAAAGAACACCAAGTGATTGACGACACAGCGAAACTCATGAAGATGATCTACGAGGAAGAAGATAAGGAGGGTTACGACGTGAGGATCGATAAAAAGTCTCTTATCAGATTGTTGCAGAAACTTGCCAAGGATAATCTGGTGAAGAACATCAAATTGACCTTGAGCGCAAATGGACGTGAGAAGAACTTGATGTTCATTTGCGATCCTAACATCGATACTGATCATACCGTGATTAAATCAGCCGTCGAACAAGCAAAGGTCAAGTTCTGCTTATTAGCGTCTCAAAAAGCAAAGATGCTCGCAAAGAAAACGGATAAGCAGGACAAGGCGGACAAGTCATCAGGTTCTAAAGGACGATTGCAGGTCAACAAGACAGCGACTAAATATCCCGCAAACTACAAGTACGATGCTAAAGCTGGCAAACGTTACGGTCTTAGCCCGAAATTCATCAGGATGCAGACGATCCACGTTCTGCTCTTCTACCTGGTCTACGATCATCCTGGCATACCGAAATTATCTCAGCAAAAGCAGATAGAAATTCTCAGGTCTAACGGATATGAAATCAGCGACGATCTCGTCCAGGAGTTCAGTACTATTTACAACATGGAAATAAACTGGAAGATGTTTGTCCCGCCTTTGCCTAAACATAGCGGGTGGCCCAAAGGTTGGGCGCTGATGTGCGACGTTCTGTTAGGGCTGCCTTTGTCGATTTTCATCAAGGTACACAATATCACCTTCATGATCCCGGAGCTGGAGCACTATTTAAATCACCCGATCAGGAAACATTACCTTGTTAAGAACCTTCCGGTGAGTTTGAGATTTAAGAATTTTACATTATAGAAAGATTAAAAATGCAACTCGAATAAACAGTTTCGGATATTAGCAGTCGTGATCTTTATTTCCTTACGAATCAGCTGAAAAGTCAGATGTAAACTCGGATCTTCGAAGATCAAGAATTTGAATGCGAGTTATTCTATTGACACCACATTAATGGCTTCTATGATATGAATTTACGTTACTAATATTTACTTTTTTAATTATTCTTTTTTAATTTTTAGGTCACCATACGAAATACTCTCTTGCATGCGCGGAAGTATATATTCAATGTCCATGATACCATAACCAGATTGGGTTACATCGGCCTGGTGCAGTTTGGTCCACAGCGGTTGAAAGACAAAGATCAAGTGTTTATCTATGTGAACCGGCGCACGGAATTGATGGATACAACCTCTTCGGCACCAGGCTATCACAAGATCGAAGACAAGACATACCCAGTGTATAAGTATTTCTTCGATTGTACAAAGGTACTGTTGATTGGTATTACTATTAAAAATATTTTAGAAATAGATTGAATCTCTAATTCTTTGTTCTAAATTTTTTTATAGAATAAATTTAACTCTTCAAACATTGTGAGACCAAATATGATCTTTGCCTTTCATTCCGAAAAGTACTTTTGTTTAGAATGCTAAAAATCACTATATTAGTCTTTGGTTTAGAAAATATCATATCTTGATTATTAGATTCAATTCATGTGTATCAATAAAACTGATTATTCACGTTCTCGATATATGTCTTTGTTTCTTATTATATCAATATGTTGTTGAACGTAATAAAATTTTTGTAATTAACAAACAATAATACATTATAAGAAAGTCATACTTTTCATTGGAAAACCAAGATTGAGTAAATTAAAAGGAATAAACAAAAAAAATGTTTTCTATTGATAACAAGATATCTATGTATTTTGAGGACTAATCGAGTAAAAAGTTGGAAGTAATGTTGCGTTTTTTTGCAGACCGTTGAGACCTACTGGTGTGATATGTGTGATATTTGTGTTACTACTCTACTTGGCGGTAGGCTGGTGATGCACGGCAAAGATATTCTACTTGAGGATTTAAGCAAGAAGATTGCCATGATAGAAGCGGTTGCAGCACGCAGTCCCAAAGAAGCCGCAGAAAGAGATACCGGTGCAGTTCCCGGAGATCGTAAAGGAGCGGCTGGTATCGACTCAGCTTTCTTCGCGCATCTGAAACGCAATTGGAACTGGTCAAATAATTATCCTGTACATCAGCAGGTAAGAAATAAAGAAATCCATGGTAGAAAGTGATCGCTTTGAAAAAAACATCTCTCTCTTTTGGGATTTTTAAATTTTTAAATTTTTTAGACTTATACTTAAAGTAAAAGGTAATTTTTATAATAAATATTTTTATATCAAGTAACAAGTATTTCCGCTCAGAAATCCTGTTATTTTATATCTGATAAATTTCTAGATATAAGTTTTTTAAATTTATAAATCTATCCAATCCGAGATTTATTTATTCATCAACATCAGTATACGTATCAGGTTGTACTCTGATATATTTCCTACAGAATATATCGACGTTATTTGTGAAATATTCTTTTTGTTATCAGACTTCTAGGAATCAGGGAAAATCCAGCACAGGCCAACGAGATTTGCATCTATCGAAAATTCAAGCAAAGCCAGTTAGGTTCACGGAGTACGACGGTCTGAAGAAGATCTCGGGACCGCCACCGCCGCCGTCTGTCAACGCGACCGAATTGCGGAAAAAGGTATACAATCATCTCAGCACCGCTGGACGGAAGAACGAGGCCTTGCCGTCGCATCAGTCCATCAGGCAGAAGTCCTTCGTGCGGCATGTGATGCCGCGCAAGAAAAGTGTACGAAAGCTCAAATACGACGAGGACGACTATCGGGCGATGCAACGGATGAATAAGCTGCGGGTCGAGTGGGACTCACACGAAGACAATATCCTGCTGGTGTGCAAAGTAGCAACGACCTACTTGTCGCCAAACCCGCGCAAGCAGGTGGTTAGTTTCATAGCGATACGAGACGTATTGCGAACGTTCTCTTACAACTCGTACAACAAGACTTCACGCGCCTGTCAACGTCGATTGGTGTACATGCTGCGACAGCAACGCACGGTGAACAGCGTTAATCTGGGTGTCGAGGAGATCAAACAGGACCCGTTTATCGATAGGCGATATGGCGGCGCCATGGACAGATTGAAGGGCGAATGTTCGAGCTCGGCGGAGTACGAGAAGCGGATAACGGATGTTTTCAAGGAGCTTGTCGGCTATATCGTTAAGAAGTATTACGACATTGCGGAAATTAAACCAAAGAAGCATATGGCGATGCCGAAGACCATACAAGAGTTTAATTTCCTCTTCGAAGTGATCCATCCGACGAAGTCGCACCATAATCAGGGCTTCACGAAGGATGTGCGAAACATAAATGATGTTCATTCGGCGACTATCAATGCTGTTATACACAGTTCCATGTGCTGTGGAAAGGACAGACGTTCTTGGGCTTATCAGCTCTTTACGGTATGATCGATATGTAATATAGAATACTCTATTTATGAGACATAATATTTAAAAGTACGTTTGTCTTGAAAATTAAATTGCAATTAAATTTTTAAGTGCCGAACAATATAAAATCAGCATTTCATTTTTCTTTAATTTATTAATAGATATTGCTTAGCAAATAACGTGCTTTTTTAATTTTAATCACTTTTTTCAGATATCTATCGTTTACTTTTAGATAGAATTTAGGTAGTACTTATGCAACATACATATAACTAACGTGTTAATTTTATATTGTTGCTTACAACTTTTCAAAATTTTTTAATTGTGTTGCAAAAATCTTTTGGTCGGTACTCATAGTAGCTCTTTTTGTTAAAGGTATACCAACACTATTCAGAAGCCATTTTGAAACAAGCAATGAATAAGATCAGATCGGATCAGATGGTGACTATAAAGAAGCACCACTTGGCGACTATTAAGAAGTACGGGAACTACATGCCGATGAGCAGCTCGCAGTATCAACTCAGTATTAACTACATCTATAAGTTCCAGACCAAGTGGACTTATGATGTCTTCAAAGAGTCCTACGATGTTTTCGAGAAATTACTGCAGTGGTATTCCGAGCATAAAAACAACGTTCCTTCAGAGAGCCAGGAAACAGAATTTAACGGTATTGAGATCCCAGTTTCCAGTGGCATCGTCACCATCATGCATGATCTTTTAGCACGCGATCAAATCGACTTCGACATTGAGATGCCGGACCAAATCATTATGTTGGACGCGAGGTACCAAGGCAAAGACGAGACCTATTTCAAAGCTGCCCAAAGATACCAGGATATTTTGACCAGACTTTATCGCTTTAAATTTGAGAACATTGATGCTCAGAACCCTGGAGTTTCTGAAGAAGCGGAAGAAGCTTCCCATGAAACACGAGATGATTCTTTGAAAAAAAAGAGACCTATCGAGAACGATGAGCCTGAAGAACCTATGTCGAAGATCTCTCGTAAAAACGAGGAAATTAATGTAAAACAAGAGAACCAATCTCAGCAAAATGAAGATACATCGCTCGAGAAAAACCGATCTCTTGACGAAAGCGAAAAACGCGAAGAGATGAATCCGAAGGATTGTTCTCACGAGCAAAGTGGGAAGAAAACTCGTGCAAGTCGTTCATCAAGAAAAAGATCTGCCAATATTGAAGAGGATTCCAGGGACTACGAAGAGCAGGTCTTGAAGAGAGCAAGACTAAACTCCGAAGATTCAACGGATTTCGAGGACTCGGAAGAAAACGAAGAATCAAAAATTTTCGAAGAGGAATTGTACGAAGATCTCGAAAGCATCGAAAAAGTATTTCCGAATAGCTCCAAATCTCTTAATCCGATGAATGAATTAAAGGAGCAGATGATAGAAGAAGGTATATTACATTTTTATGATAATACAAATTTTTTTATTCCTATAAATAATTACTTCTATTGTAATACTTACGATTGAATTACTACTGTCTCGTTGAAGATCTGTTACTTTTTTTACTACTTTAAATTTTAAATGTTCGATGTCTGATAATTTTCGGCATTTTTAATAAATTAAGTCATAATAGTTTATACATGTATATAGTTTATATGTATTAGATTATACTGTGATTTTTTGAATCAAACTTTATAATTGATTTCTTTAAAATAATATAAATATATTGCTTTAATTGCCAGCTTCTTCAATGCAGCCGAGCATAATTGATATGACTTCGGTTCCTCGACGTGTCAGCGAAATTATCAGGAAAGTGTCGCCTGAGACGAACTACTTCAATTCTTGCAAGATAGAAGATACAAGCGATGTTCAGAAGAAATATACTAGAATAGCCATGCTGAGGATGAGAGAAGAGCTGAACGATCTCTCGGTAACCGACAGTCATCACGCGCACGAATATTTTGTAGTCAATAGCTTCAGAATGTTTTATAGCTTGGAAACGTCACCGTCAATAGCATCCACGCCATCAAACGACGTTGAGAATTTTAAAGGTCACTCGGTGCCTAGCCAATTAGTGCCGTTGAAGATCGAGACTGTAAATGATTTTCTCGACGGGTTAAATCGGACTGCCGTTTTTCCGAAGAAGAGTATCTCTTATACGGATTATAAGAACGAGATCGTGACGAAAAAGAAGGAAATAGCAGTTGACTGGAAATATGTCGACGCGGTACACGAGTTCGTCCAGGAGAGGAAAGAAATCGGCGTTTGTTCGCAAGAATTACTGGTAATTTATCCTTTATAGAAAGAGCAATTTTTTTATTGCCTTTCTCTTTCTATTTTAGCTTTCAGTGGCTAACATTTCTTACAAGCATTGCTTTTCTTCTCTCTTGTCCAGGATAAATTCTTCGCTGAGCAAGGAGAAGATTTGTACAAGGTCGTTTCGCTTTTAGTAGACAATCATATATTTTTGCGCTCTGGCATCACCAAACCACGCTATATCCATCATCGTTACTTGGATCCTTGGTTAATTAATTCCTACAAGATACATCGCCTTGAACAAGAATCTCTAGGACAGTTCAAGGACAGTATATATGCCACAATGCAGCAGAGAGAAATAGCCGAGACAAACGCTGAGAGGGATGCGAAAGATACAAATCCTCACACTGAAGGAAATACAAATAAAAAAAGTAATATTGTTACGTCATTCACTTTATAATTTTATATTTTACTGATGTACTCATCTCGTACTTATAAACGAGCACTTCGATTCTTGACAAGTTTTATAAGATTTCGATATTACGGATTCTATATATCCCATTTGAAAAATTTTATTATAATGGAGATACTTATAAAAATATTATTTTTATTGTATCACTCTTATATTTTTACGCTTTACTACAGTTTCGTATTATAAAGTTTAAAAGAGTAACATTATGCAAAAATTGGTCAAAATTTGTTGGATTATTAAATATATTAAGTTATCTATTTAGTACATTGTCTTTTAAGATCAATGCTTATTAGAATAAATATATGGCAGATGAAACAGATAGTACGGTAGCATCCACGTCATCGGACAACCAAGAAAACAAAGAGAAGAAAAACGAAAAAACGGATGATGATTTAAATAATGAGGACGAGAAGAAGGAAGACAGCGAGATCAATGGGGAAAGTAGTTCACGTACGAGAAAAAGAAGTCACAAACAAAAGACACGCTTACTTCCACAAAAGGACGTGTACAAACCTGCTGCGCAGCAACTAGATTTCACGTATGTATTAAGAAAGAACAACGGGAAAAATTCTCAGAAGTCGTTCAAAACTGATGAATTATTCTCTTTCAGGACTGCCGAGAAAATAAAAGTCCTGATAAAGCCATGGATACGTGTAGACGGCGTGCTGAATCGCAAAGTTTTAGATCGAATGTTGGGCGCGGTTCTAAGTTACTGCTTGCTTCATCCCGGGCTCACGATGTCGAAAGTGCAAAGCAGATTCGTCCCTGCTCTACAACCCTTTCATACGCGTGAATTGCTCGAGGTTTGTTTTATCGATTGTCTATATCGAAATTGATAAATCAGTATTTCTGGATTCTTAAAGAGACTTGCTCTATTAGATCTTATGTGTATATTGGGCATAAATTATTACAAAATATTACATTTGTATGACAACTTATTGACAAAAAAAGTACGGACCTGTCTTTTTTTATATCGTCTAATGCAAAATGTTTATTTTTAAAATAATTTTTTTTTGCAGATGCTGGTCAAGTTGGGATGTTTAGAGAGTAAGCTCTTGAAGAAAACGCGCGTTACTCTGTTCTCTCCACCGCCTGTAATTAATATTATTAATTTAAGTACGTAATTATTATTACTAAAATTATTATTATTACTATTGGAAATCTTTGGATTCCTAATACTTGATAGTTAATTAATGTTTGCACCATTAGTGGCACATTTTTACATTTTCTATATATTATACATCATACATCATATGCTGTCCATGATGCTCTCAAAATATTCTAGTCTTTGCATAAGTATCATTTTATACTTAAAAATTAAATCTCTATTTTCTCTAATTAAAAGTAAGCAGATGCTAGTTTTTAAAAAATTGACAAAATATCTAGCTTGATAATATCTCTCGAATATTAAGACATTCATCTTCTAATTAATTTAAGAATTCTAATAATTTGCTTCCTTATCTTACACAATTTATAGAATTATTTTGCAATAAGGGCAATTTTATATAACACGATTTAATTTTACTACAAATGTTACACAGTCAATCTCAAGTAAATTATTCACAACTTCTGATGTTTTATGATGTACACTACTTTATTTCTTTCTGTTAATCTGACATCAGATTCGTCATGATAAACTCTCACTAATATTTCTCTTTTTTACTTTTAGCTGCAGATGACGTTGGCTGGTGCACCGAGGATGAAGTAGTATTCGAACCTGCCATAGATGCTACATTGAAGTTCAGTATATTTTTGAGTACGAGGACATACAGCGCAGATTTTATGTCATAATTATGTGTACATCTGTATTATATGTACATAAGTACTTTATCATTTTATCAATACTATCAATAGTGTGTAAAAATTATAATAAAAGTACATTGAACTTAATATAATTATAATTTAATTATATTACTAGTAATATAATCACATATTATAATATTATAAAACATTATAATATTATTAATTATAATGTAATAAATTGAACAAAAGAGTTATATGTGAAATTTTCTTGCGAAAAATTAAACATGTTAGGTCCCGATGCGTTTTTTTACGCGTGCGCGAATTTAAGGTACAACCAATCCGGGAATTGCCGCGAATTCGGCGCGAACGGCAATTGGCGTATAGACTCGTGCAAACTCGAGGTTAACCAATCAAATCGTCTATTTATTACGCTCAGCTGACGCTTTTTGACGAAAGTACGCAACGTATCGCGCGGAAACCTCGTTTTTCGTTTGTCGAGGGATACGATTCTACCTCATATTTTTCTGTAGTTCTCTCCTGGTTCTCTCCTTCGAAATCCGATTACGCGATCACTTCCGTTTTAACTTGGGATTAAACGTCCGCGACGGTTTAATCCCGTTTATTTAACGGACCGTTTCTTGTTTATTTCCGAAAAGTCGCACCCAAAAGGCAAAAGGAGGCGTCTAATTACATACGACAAAAGGAGGATTCGTTCGGGTGACGACAAGATGGGATTTAAAGAATATGAGGATTGCCGTGCACCGAATTTCGTACGCGAGATTTGAAGGGTTTCTCACTCGTGAGTATTTGCTCCCACTCAGAATTTACAACCTCCCTCACTCCATGTATTTCTAGGATTCTGAGGTGTGTCATCAATTGTGCTTGTGGTTTGTCTGCTGGTACTTATCTTAAGGTAAACATTCCCTAAAATTTCTTCTCGGATTTATGAGAGATACGAAGAGACGTGGGTGAGCGAAGACTTACGGCTGACAGTGCATGTGCAGGAGATTACAATTAAAACTTATCGCACTCTTGTATAAATTTAACATGTAATTTTATCAATAATTTACAACAATTTCACAGATTTTGAGTAGTGCTTGTACATAAAATCAGATAAGAAATGGTAAGCAAAGTTTCTTGCAGCTGTGAAAAATTGTTGAGTAAGAATTTATCAAATTTTTATTTTGCTATAGCGATAATGAATGATTAAAATGGGAATATTTATAATATTGACTGCTTAAGAAAGAGACAAATATATTCCGAGGAATTTATTTGTGCTGTTGTTAATTCTAAAATACAATATTACGGGTCTTTATTTATTAATTGAACTTTATTTCATAATCAAGGATCTCTTATAATTATATGTTACTCATATTCAAGGTTATGTTGTTATATAAAATTGCATAATATTGTATTGTGAATAGAAAAGCTAGTATTTCTAGTAGAAAATAATATTCAGAACTTGAAAGTAATATTATCAACACAAAACTTTTAAATTTAAAAATGTAAATGTGTTTTATTTGGTGGATAAAGCACAGAATTAAAAATTGATATTTGTAATAAGTATATATTATATTTATTTTTACTTTAGGTTTCTAAGTAGAAAATAGACTGCGATACGATAAATAGTATTGCCTTAAAGAATGGATAACACTACTACTACTATTAGTACTAACACTCGTTGGTGCTCCGCGCCAGGTTGTATGGTGAATATAAAAATAATGAGACGACATTTCTTTCGATTTCCGAAAGAAAGAAAAAGGTATGTATATATATCTGGTTGAAATCAGATATCAATTAACGTTGATACATTTATAAATTTGAAAATTGTTCTATTTTATATATTCTTCAAAGATTCACTTTGTGCTTGTACATGAAATATGTATGTTCTCTATTCTATTGTATATTTTCATACAACATGTTATATTCTCAGATTTATATTCGAGATTGTGTAATTTTAGATGGCTAGAATGGATTAAAGCATGCAATAGAATGGACTTAGTGACAATAGGCCCGGAATATGCTAATCGATACTATCGGTTATGCCATTTACATTTTCGAGTAGAAATGTTTCGAAATATAGAAGGGAGAATTTATCTCAGTAAAGAGGCTGTGCCATCAATATTTTTGAAGCCATTACAGACAGGAAAGTAAGTAAGATTTATAGATATATTTCAGTTACGGTCTACTTATATATATTATTACTTATATATTACTATTTATATATTATTATAATATTGTTACAGAAATGGTTTCCAAACGAGATTATCAGATTTTAAAATCATATTTAATTATATTTAAAAAGAATTAAAAGTAATAACTCTTTTTTCTGTCTTTTTATAGCAATTCATCTTCGACCTTGTTTCAACCAATTTCCTTCGTAACTATATTTTTGAAGCCAGAGAGCAGAAATAAGTAAGTTTGCAAGTATTACTTGAATTTTCTTGCTGATTTTTCACTCATGGAACAGAATAATTATTTATTAAATAATGTAATTCTCTTTCAGAAACTCATCTACAGATTTATCACAATCTGAAGTGTCTCAAACGCATCCTATGAAACCCGACGAAAGGTCAGCTTCTACTTTGCTACAAGAATAGCATAATACAATCTATTATAGCATAATATGAACTATTATGTAGCATAATATAAACTATTTAAATAATTTATATATTTGCATATTATACAATTATATATATATATCATCTATAATAGACATGATAAATACTTCCACAAGATGATTATCATTATTTTACTTATTATGTTTATTAAAGAAATATAATTTCTTAATATAGGGATACGGCTATAATTTCATCGGTTCAAGCACTTTTCCCGAGAGCATCTATAAAGCACGCATACGACGATAGGTAACTTTTGCGTCAATATCGATATTGTTTCTGATTGATAAATTCTTCAATTCTGTGTGTTATAAGTGTTAAATAATATATTTAATTTTTGTCAGAAACATGCCGTCAGCTCAGACATCGTTGCTAGAAGTAAAGCCTGAAAATGATAACGGGTGAGTGATATAATAGTTGCTTTCCATTTACACTCAAGTGATCTGAGTCACTCAGTTATGTGAATATTTTATACTCAGGTAAGATATGGCATTTTGTATATTTATCTGCTTATTTTGGTGACAAAGTTATCGCATAATAATACAGGTCCATAGCCTCACTTTTAATGTGAGTTTATTAGATTTATTAAAGCACATGGTCTCGATTGTGGATAAAAACTCAGTTGAATCTCACTTGCCAGCATGTAAAAAGAACGTGCATTTAACTGAGTTATGACGTCACAAGTGAGAATTATCTAAGTTTTGATGTAAATGGAAAGCAACTAATAAATGCAACTCGTTCATTTTTATATAAATATTTATGAAAATATTTTATTTATTCCTGTTTTACGTTTTATTAGAATTTAATGTAAATGGAGTTATTCTCTAAGCACTTATTTACGATATGTCAAGAAAAATGAAAGCACTAAAAATGCATTTTATTAACAGGAGACATTGTATTTCTGGGACAGAAATGCAATTTATCAAGGAAATATATACAGATACGGAAACAGCATCAACATCGTCACGAATATCCCCGGGGGAAGGATGCAGTAATACGTAAGTTGCGATTTTAAAAGATCAACTTACATAGCGTCACTTATAGTTAGTCAACAGAAAAATATTTCTTTTTTTTTTAACAGAGATATCATCGATTTAACATCTATGGACTCTTCAGACCCGTTAAGTTTAGAGCCAGACATACCAACAATGTCGTCGAAAGCACTATCGGTTTGTGCAACGCCACAAAATAACGACAGGTGAATATCTGAGAATTAATACTATGATGTAGTAGAGATGCTGTAAGTTTTGCGAAAGTTTATTTCAATAATTAACGTTAAATTGTCATAGCAAAATGTACAAAAATGCCAATTTAATAGTGAAATAAGAATACTAAAGAGAAACTTTGCTAAATATTCTAGAACATCAAAAAGAAGACATTGGACTATCTCAACACAGACGCCAGAAGCGTGGATATACATCGACTCTTTTCTTCAAGGGAAGAAACAAGTGGAAAAAACCGAGATTGACGACGATAATCCAGTTGCAAAGCGGAGAAAAACGTTCGACGGGGAAAACGAAGATTGTCACATGAACGTAGATCAATTTAAAGCGGCGTGTGCAGACTTGCTACCGTACAGTTCTACCCTCTTAGTTTCGGCGTGCATCAGCGCTTGCAAGAAGCCTAAGACCAGGAAGAGTTTTGAGGATAAGCAATTCGCGCTCAAGTTATTTTTCATGGCATCGGAGGCGTACAGATTTTACCGGCCATTATGCTCGCTGCCCACTGTGCGTCAGCTGTGGAGACACGTACGTAATTGGGATATGCCGCCTGGCTTGAACGACAACGTGCTTAATGCGTTGCGTTTGAAGATTAAGTCACTGCCAGCGACTGAGAGACATTGCTCCCTGTGCGTGAACGAAATGCGACTGAGGCCACATCTCTTTTACAATCTGACACGCGACAGAATCGTCGGTTTCCACGACACCGGTACGGAAAAGCGACGCACGCTAGCGAGGAAGGTCTTGGTAATAATGGCATGTAGTTTGATTGGCGACTGGGAACAGCCCATCGCCTATTACTTCCACGGCGGCACGTGTCGCGTCGATATCTTGAAGAATCTGATATTCCAAGCAATAATTAGATTGAAGAACGTCGGTGCAACCGTGCACGCTTTGACTACCAATACATCACCGACGTTTCTGCGACTATCGCAGCTATTAGGAATCTCCGCGGAACGCCCGTCATTCCTGGTGAACGACGAAAGAGTATTTTACGTTTTCGATGTTACACGGTTAATAAGAGTGACGAGAAATGTGTTCAGGAGTCACGAGCTCCGCTTCCGTGAGAAGAGGGCCTCGTGGACGGATATCGAACTCTTTTTCAGACGCGACAGCCAGATGCGACTGCCGCTGGTTCCTAAATTATCCGTGGGCCATCTCGAGCCCGATGGATGTCAAAAGATAGAAACCAAGTATGCCGTTCAAGTATTCAGCAGCAGTATAGCTGCAGGTCTTAGCGCGCACATCGCATCCGGCGAGTTACCGCTGGAAACGATCGGAACGATGGAGTTTGTA